TATATATATATATATATATATATATACACACATATATATATATATATATATTAATTGATATAAGTCGAGACGTTTTTATTTATTGTTAACATATATACATGCATATGAGTAGGTTATAAGTCGATGAATCAATTTACAAGTGTATCAATACCTAAAAGAACTTGTCCCTGTGTTCCGAGCGCTTCATGTTCTTATATATATATATATATATACACACACACACGCACACTTCGTAGTACTGCTTAACTGTATATATAGCATGTTAGAGTATATTTTAGTCTATTCATCCTTTGTATTACAAAAAGTGTTAACGGGTTATATTTATATTATTTAGATAGTAAATACAAAAGTGATTTTTAATTTTGACCATTGTTGACCTGAAAAGAGACCAACTTTGGTCTCAAAATATACATAAATTTAAATTAGATTTATTTATATTTTATATAATATTTAAAATAATAATATAATTATTAAACATTAGAACTGGGTCCCAGATTAGCGACCAAAGTTGGTCTCCATTTTTGTAAGCGACCAACTTTGGTCCTAAATTTGAATTATATTTTTTTATATTTTATTAAATAAAAATATAATTATTAAAATTTTATAATTGGGTCTCATTTTAACGACCAAAGTTGGTCGCTATCTGCTTACCCCTTAATTAGCGACCAACTTTGGTCGTTAATTTTAAATTATATTTATTTATATTTTATAATTTTTTTAAATAATATTATAATTATTATAATTTTATAAGTGGGTCCCCCTGTATCGACCAACGTTGGTCGCTAATCTCAGTATACCTTTGACCAAGCAAGTCTAACCAGTCCGGTCAATATTTTGACGAAATTAGCAACCAAGTAGTGACCAACCTTGGTCGCTAATGTATATCAAATAATTATTTTATTATTTTCACCAATTTAGTGACCAACTTTGGTCGCTTTTCTTGACAGACCAACTTTGATCGTTAAAGTTTGGTCGCTTTTTTCCGAAATTCTAGTAGTGTACCAGTGCCCATTGAGCTAGATGAGTCAACGAAACTAACAGAGGTGACAGTCCAGCCTACCCAGGAAGAACATAACATTCAGATTGAGACTGAGAAAGAAGCTGAGATAGCCCAGGAATAAGTAGTTGAGGTGGCAGCTGATAAAGAGCAATCCCAAATCATTGGGAAGAAGAAACCTCCCGCACCATTCCCTCAGAGTCTGGCCAAGTACCAAAAAGAGGAGCAATATAAGAAATTCTTGGAGATGCTGAAACAAATCCAGGTAAATATTCCATTAATAGATGCTTTGAAAGAGATGTCTGGTTATGCAAAAATCATGAAGAACTTAATGTCCCGAAAATTCGATTTCCAAGACTTGGCCACGGTGACTCTTACTCGGACCTGCAGTGCAGTGGTGACTAGACCAATTGCTGAGAAGCTATTTGACCCAGGGAGCTTTACAATTCCCTGCACTATTGGTAACTTCGCTTTCGCCAAAGCACTTTGTGATTTAGGGGCTAGCATAAATCTTATGCCTCTATCGATCTATAAGAGGTTGGGGATTGGAAGAGCTAGACCCACTTCTATGTTGTTGCAGATGGCTGGCAGGACCGTAAAAAGACCTTCTAATATCCTGGATGATGTGTTGATTCAGGTAGGAAAATTTGTGTTCCCTGCCGATTTTGTGATCTTTGACTGCAAGGTGGATGAAGAAATTCCCATAATTTTGGGAAGGCCGTTCTTGGCCATTGGGAGAGCTCTTATTGATTGTGAGACTGGGGAGCTCAAGATGAGATTGAACGATGAAGAGATAACATTCAATGTGCAAAAATCTATGAGGCGACCAAGTGAATTCGCCAATTGCTCTCCTATTGATGCAGTGCATGTAATTGTAGAAACTGATGATGAGATGCTGACTATTGAGGACCCTCTTCCTACATGTCTGATGAATTTAGATGAGGTTAATGGAGAAGAATTGGTAGAATGGGTGTTGGCGTTAGAGGGCAGAGGGTTCTGGGATAGAACTCTTGAATTTGAGCCCTTACATTTAGAAAATAGAGAAACTCCTCCATCCAAGCCATCCATTGAAGAACCACTAAAGTTGGAATTGAAGCCACTGCCCGCCCATCTCAGGTATGAGTTACTTGGACCTGACTCCATATTACCAGTTATTATCTCATCCAGCTTTTTAGATGTGCAAGAACAATAACTCTTGCAGGTACTCAAGGAGTGTAAGACTACCATTGGGTGGACCATGGCAGACATTAAGGGGATCAGCCCCGCCTACTGTATGCATAAAATTCTGCTGGAAGAGGGACACAAACCTTCCAGGGAACATCAAAGAAGGCTGAACCCCAACATGAAGGAAATGGTGAAGAAAGAAGTAATAAAGTGGTTAGATACGGAATCATTTTCCCAATCTATGACAGCAGCTGGGTCAGCCCGATGCAATGTGTGCCTAAGAAGGGTGGCATAACGGTGATAAAAAATGATAACAATGAACTGATCTCAACACGAACCATCACGGGCTGGGGAATTTGCATGGACTACAGAAAACTAAATCTAGCCACCCGGAAGGACCACTTCCCACTTCCCTTCATTGATCAGATGCTAGACAGATTGGCAGGGAGGTCACACTTCTGTTTTCTGGATGGGTACTCAGGGTACAACCAAATCTCCTATTGCACCAGAGGACAGAGAGAAGACCTCCTTCACTTGCCCATATGGGATTTATGCTTTTCAGAGGATGCCCTTTGGCCTATGCAATGCACCCGCCACATTTCAGAGGTGCATAATGGCCATATTCACTGACATGATAGAAGACATAATGGAGGCTATTCATTGATAATTTCTTAGAGGTGGGAAACTCATTCGAGGAGTGCCTTAGAAACCTCACTCGTAAGCTGAAACGGTGTATTGAGACTAACCTGGTACAAGAGGGCATAGTCTTGGGACACCGAGTATCAAGTAAAGTGGATGTGATAGCAAAGCTTCCCCTTCCAACTTCAGTAAAGGCAATCAGGAGCTTCCTTGGGCATGCCGGTTTCTACCGGAGATTCATATGAGACTTCTCAAAAATCGCAAACCCTCTCTGTAAGTTGTTAGAAAAAGATCACCCTTTGTTGTTCTCTGATGATTGCAGGGTAGCATTCGAGGAGTTAAAAAAGAGGCTAGTCACAACACCCATCATTGTTTCCCCCGACTGGGAGCAACCTTTCGAACTCATGTGTGACGCTAGTGACTACTCAGTGGGGGCAGTGCTGGGACAGCGGAAAGACAAGTTAATGCATCCAATCTACTATGCCAGCAGAACTCTAAGTGGAGCCTAGCTGAACTACACTATGACTGAAAAGGAGATATTAGCTGTAGTGTTTGCTTTTGACAAGTTCAAATCATACCTGATTGTATCTAAGGTAATTGTATACACTGATCATGCAACTCTCAGGTACTTGATTGAGAAGAAGGAGTCTAAGCCGCGCCTAATTCGTTGGGTGCTACTACTGCAAGAATTCGACCTCGAAATTCATGACCGTAAAGGCACAGAAAACCAAGTCGCTGACCATCTATCACGACTTGAGGGAGCTGAAAACTCAGTTGAGGTTGAGGATATTCTGGAAACCTTTCCAGACGAGTAACTGCTCGCTACTAGTCTTGAGGAAGTGCCATAGTATGCAGACTTTGCAAATTACCTGGCCAGCGGTATAGTCCCCTATGACCTTTCCTCTGTATAAAAGAAAAAAGTTTTATCATGACTGCCGCATGTATTATTGGGATGAACCTTACCTGCTTCGAATATGTGTTGGCAATATGATTCGGAGGTGCATCAACAATATTCTGTTTTGCAGGCATGTCATGCATCGGCGTATGGAGGGCATTTTGGAGGAGTCAGGACAGCTGCGAAAGTGCTAGAAGCCGATTTCTTTTGGCCAACAGTGTTCAAAGATGCGCACCAATGGGTGAAGGGCTGCAATGAATGTCAGCGAACCGGGAACATTTCTCGTCGCCATGAGATGCCCATGAACCCGATTCAAGAGGTGGAAGTGTTTGATGTTTGGGAGATTGACTTCATGGGACCCTTTGTCAGCTCCTTTGGCAATAAGTACATACTTGTTGCTGTAGATTATGTGTCCAAATGGGTAGAAGCTGCAGCATTTCCCACTAATGATGCAAGAGTAGTGGTGGGTTTTTTAAAGAAGAACATATTCACCCGTTTTGGGACACCGAGAGCTATTATCAGTGACGGAGGCACCTACTTCTATAATCGAGCCTTCGAGAAGTTGCTAGCGAAGTATGATGTGCATCACAAGGTAGCAAAACCGTATCATCCACAAACAAGTGGACAGGTGGAAGTGTCTAATTGAGAGATAAAGAGTGTATTGACCAAGACAGTGAATGCCACAAGAACTGATTGGGCGAAAAAGCTAGATGATGCACTTTGGGCTTGTAGAACTACTTTTAAAACATCAATTGGTATGTCACCATATAAGTTGGTGTTCGAGAAGGCCTACCACTTTCCAGTGGAACTTGAACATAAATCTTGGTGGGCACTGAAACAGCTGCACCTAGACATTGAGGCTGCGAGCACAACTAAAACCACTGAATTGCATGAGTTTGACGAGTTCCGACATCTTGATTTTGAGAGCACAAGGTTGTACAAGGAAAGAATGAAGAGGTTGCACGACCAGAACATTGTTGAGCGACATTTCAAACCCGGGAACATGGTACTGCTCTATAATTCGAAATTAAGGCTATTCTCGGGTAAGCTTAAGTCATGATGGTCTGGGCCGTTTCGAGTGGTTGAAGTATTCCCTTCAGGGGCTGTAGAGATTACCTCAGAGAAAGACTCTCACACATTTAGAGTCAAAAGGCAAAGATTGAAGCTATACATAGGCATGAAAGAACCAAAGGAAGTGTTAGAGATCCACCTGACGGAACCTCAGAGGTCGAGCGAGCCTTAAATGCGCTTGTTTGTGTTGTGCCGCGATGTTAAATTAGGCGCTGCATGAGAGGCAACCCAATGATAGTAGTAATTATTAATTGTGAGTTTTTAGGACGTGCTAACCAATGCAGGTGACAATAAGCGGGTAATAAGGCCATCGAAAGTGGTCAGAATAGGTGAAAACAATTTCGCCCAGGAGCGCGCCCGTGCTACAGGTCACGCTAGTGGCCGCGCATATGGGCAAACATTCTACCTGGGCTCAAAAATATTAGCGTGCCCGCACTAGTGAACGCACTACTGGCCGTGCTACTAGCACGATCGCGCTGGTGGCCGCGCATATTGCATTGTGTTCTGCCTGGGCTAGCACGGTCGTGCTCGTACCGCACTAGCCCCGCCCACATCTGTGCGTTTTGTGTTGTTTTTTTTGTTTTTGTTTTTTTTTCATGTTAATTTTTGTATATAGCCTAAACTACCCCCTTTCTAATAACCCCCCCTCTTTAATCCCAAATCACACCCATTCCACCACATTGAACGAAAATTCCCCAACCCTAACCCCTTCTTCTTCACACACTCCCTTCTTCTTCAACTCAATTCCATCTTGTTCAACTTTCACTAAGTCTCAAGCACACTCCCCTCTCTTCATCTTTGCTTCTCCTAACAATCTCCCACTGCAGGTATAACTCCTAGGTACCATTTTTTTTGTTTTTTTCTTTTCTTTTCTGATTTTTATTTTTTGTATCTGTGTAGTTGTTGTTCGTGCCTCTATTTAGTCAAAATCTATAGCATAAGTTGTAGTGTTTGTAGGTGGTAGGATTGGTGGGGTGTTGCTTCACGTGGTTTGTGATTTTGGAGGATATTGTGGTGGGTTGAGGTTGTAACATATGTGAAATGGGGTATAAGGGTAGAATGCCCACAAGGTGTTTGTGTAAATGCCTTTGTGAACGTAATTATGTAGTTGTGACCACTTATGCGTGTGAAGTCTGAGTAACCGCAGTACGTCATAACTTTGTGTTGGGCTGTGCTAATGTGCTCTCGTTTTTTAGGTACTATGGCTCCATCTCAGAAACGTTGTGCCACAAGTGCCTCTTCTAGCAGCCGAGCCGGCTCGTCCAGGGCATGCGGGGCAGCCCCTGCCCGCCCCTTTGATAGTAATAGATTTGTCTCTGCCAAGGCTCAGGACCGCTTTATGGATAAGGCCTCTAAAAAGCCGATTCTGGAGAGGGGAATTGACATAGGATCAGTCCAGCTATACTGCCATGTGTACACTGAGCTGGTGAGGCGGGGGTTGAAAACTTTCATTGACGAGCCAGGTGAGGTCAATGTCATGGTTGTTAGGGAATTCTACGCCAATGTGAGGGAGCATGACAATGGCGTGGTCACGGTATGCCGAAATGCGGTAAATGCCTTTGTTGAGGATATACGGATGACGTACCAGCTGCCCCCTCCTGTGGATCATTATGATGACTATTATGAGGGGTATGGCCAAGCACACACACAGTTGGAGCGGTTCTTTAAAACGGTCTGTGTACCTGGGAAAGAGGTGATCTGGATGAAGTATGGTGAGAAATTTCACTCCCCGGCACTAACCTTTGAAGGGAAGTGTTGGTTGTATATTATCAACAATCGTTTGATCCCATCCCTCAACATTATGGAAGCGAATGGACCCCGAGCGTCCTTGATTTGGTGCTTCATAAATGGTCATAACTTCGACGTGGCCAAAGTGATTCATGAGGAGATGTTCATTAGTTGTCCAGTCAAAAGGTATGGATTCTTTTTCCCTTCTTTGGTCACTAAACTTTGCAGGCAAGCTCGGGTGCCAGAAAATCGGGCGGTGGATGGGCTGGTGCCAAAAGACTGCAAGTTCCAGGCGGATAAGCTAACCACAGGTAAGGAGCCAGCGGCCGCAGGTGGGGAGGATAGTAGTGGCTCTGATGATTTGGAGGAAGAGAAGGACGAGTAGGAGGACGTTGGGGCCGAACCACAGGCCCATGAGCAAAGTGCAGTAGCTGCAACACCATCTGGGACTGCAACATCTTCTGGAGCTGCTCGGGTGTCCCGTTTCACCACTTTAGAGCAGGAGGTGGCTGGGTTGCATACCTCAGTCACTGATTTGGGTGCCCGCGTTGACGCGGTGTCTGACCGGCAGGTGAAGTCAGAAAAGAAATTCTTAGGCTGGCTGAGAGCTCTAGGTCGTGCTTGCAATATGAACCCAGACACCGTCTCCGATCAGGAGTGATCTTTCAAGGAAGTTCCTTTACCTCACTATTCTT